ATTCATGTTAACGCGGAGCTCATCGTGACTTTCCCCCAACCTTCAAACTTTCGTTGTACGAACATGGATAAAATTTCGACCAATCGAATAATCAACCATCCACCAATTCCAATTACGTTAAATTCCTTTCCTCTCTTTAATACTCATCCATCCTCCTGCGTTCACTAAATATTTTTCATTTTTAGTCTTTTTTTTTTGGTTCACTCAAAATTACACTTTTCAAATCGTAGTGCTTTTAATTCCTTTTGTCGAATTACCTTACAAGTGCGAAACAAAGCCAAGCCCTCAAGCTTTTGTCAAAAATTGTTTCATTATATTTCAATATTCCGTTACTCTCTCTTTATTCGTCACGAGCGTAACATTAATTACAAATCATAAAAGTTATATTTTCCAGTCACATTAAGTTTTCCTATACATAAGTATATCTATCAGCAATTTAAATATAATCAGTGAATACTTAAACAACTCTAAAAGTATAATTCACGGTACCAAGTCGATTCAATTTCTGTCATATCATTCTGTTCAAAATTCCAACCATAAATAAGTAATACATACGTGTGTACATATCTAACCATGTTTTTGCGTAATGATCCGACTTCTGGAGCGAATCCAATTGTCGGAATTTTGTTCCAGAGTGGAAGTTCGCTGATTCGGTATTCACGAAACGAATTTCCGAAAATATGGCCTGGGACAAACGTTATTTGGATACAACCGCGCAATCCTAATTCTGCTACTGTTCGCGAACTTAGTTTCATTCGTAGTCGATGCAATCACTGGGGGAAAAAGAAAACGTTCTCCGAGAGATATCCGAGAGAGAAATGTACGCGCGAGCGAGGATACTGTACGTTGAGCACGATTTCCTATACGGGATATGACCTTATTCGCCTTATCTGTTCGCCTGGTTCGTACTAAAGCTATTCTTATATGCGAACGCGTCCCGAAACGCACATAGTTGTTTTACGAGATCATCTTACTGTTCGTCGAATTTCTCTCAGATCCTTCCGATTCTTTCGTTGCTCGATTATGCGAAAATCTGATCGATGATGGTAGAACATGGTGCCGAAATGAAATTTTCAAGTGCGCAAATATCTTCAATGCAAAGTAAAAATCACGATGGGTCCAAAATAGTTAATCCAATAATTCTTAAAATATCAGGATGAGTAAACAAATAACTCAGTAATATCTAATATCAGAATAGGTACAAGAAACGATGTTGGTAAACGGTTTGAGAAACTCACATTCAAACGGCTTACTATTGCTTTAGCTTTGGTTATAGTTTGAAACTCTGATAGGAAACAAAATAGCCTTCCCAAACTACGTGAAATAATTTTATTTAGGGCATATAACATGCGTAATGCATACTTTTATATGCAAATACAAAGTGGATACGAATTGGATATACGCGCGCTACGCGACACCGATGGTCATCTTTGAGGATACAGTCCCGACTACAGGAAGCTCTATCGTGCCGTCGAATTTCATAAATTCCGATTTGCACGTTCAAAATACGATAAACGTTAACTGCGCGCATGGCGATATACGCCGAAGCGTTGATCCCGCGTATTCTAAATTTCTCGTGATCTGCCATTTCCATCCGCTGCACAAGTTACAGTTCCTATCTATTCGTTCATCCATGAAACGTTTAAACTGTTACACTACTACTAACACGATGGATACTAAGTTTTTAACATGCGTTCTATCCAATAGAATCATTTAGTGATGTTTTCAAAATTAATAAATTTTTGAAGTTTGCAAAATTGATTAATTCGAATTGTTTCTCATGACTTTCGCTCTAAGCTCTATTCTCTATTGTCTTTATTTTCCTATACAAAAACCCTTCGAATTGCATCATAAACGAAAAAGGCAAAGCAGCTCATTTCACAAGCTGCCTCTATACTTTGAATGTCGATAAAACACGCGGGCCAAGCTAGTGCCGATAAAAAAATCACCATAAAATTCCCGTAGTAGTTTCCCAAGGAGATTCTTATCGATCCATCGACTGGCGGAGATCGTGAACATCCGCGAGAAGATCGAGGAAAACCGCTCGGGCGGGAGAGTTGGGGTGGTAATTTGGCGAGTTTTACGCGCGACGCAGAGGAGTTTCGGCGTGACACGGTGGCGAAATAAAATCGCAGGACAAGAGGAAGTTGCACAACTGCACGACACCACGGAGGCGACCGTTAGATCATAAAATGCATTCGCACATCGTTTTTTTTTCGAGCGCTCACGTCGTCACATTTTACGAATGCGCGTCGCGACGCCGACAACGGCGACCGTGACCACCCTCGAGCGACTTCCAGTCGACCGAGGGATATAATCGCGTGGACGCGATGCAGGGGAAACAACGTTGTAAAGTTCACGTCACGAGAGACAGGAGCCGGCCCGATTTTTCCGGGATGCCCGTTGAATTAGGATGGATGAACTGACGGACGAGAAAGATACTTTTTTTACTGGCTCCTTTTCTTTCTTTTTAACGCAAAATTTCGTCCCATACTTACTCCTTCACATTTAAAACATTTCTCCCATTTTTTTTTTAGTTCATTTTCTCTGCTCTTTATACCACGATTTTTCCTATTTTATCTTGATTAACGTACAACTTCGAAGTGCACGTTTCTAGAGGTACTCGCTTTATTTTTTATTCGAAAGTGAAAGAGAGAGAGAGAGAGAGAGAGAGAGGGAGAGAGCTGACTCGCAAGAGAGGGTCAGAAAGTTTTAATTCATTTTCCCGACGAATCGAAAATTGGTTAAGCGGCGAGCTGTTAAGAGGGCGGAACTTTCTCGGCGGATGAATGAAAATTGTCGGACACGACCTACATACGAATGACGAGTGTTCCCTCTCTCTGTTTTCGCTGCGTATAGAACTTTATCCACCGTGCAATTGTTTCGCGCAAGTGTATTTAATTAACGCCCGACTCTTGTGATTATAATTAATTGCACAAAGATAATGCCGTTAAAAAATGTTATTTCCCGTGTAAATGAAAACTCCCGGTGCTCAACGCTGCCGTATCTCATGTATGATACATAAAGAATTAGAGAATTATTCATGCGAGTGAGAATTTTAATTTTATATCGCCACTATCTTCGTTATAATATTTCTCGTTGAAAATCGCTACGACAAATTAACATTCGTTAGCTAAGAAAAATTTCCGAGTTTTTCTGTCGTCACTCCCATTTTTGTCATGACAAACGCATTGTAATCGACGCGATTTCCCCTTGAAAATTCATCATCGACTTCTAGTATCAGAAACATAAACGAGATGAAGTTTTGAATCTCATCCTATCTTTTGATAAATGTACGGATGATGGAGATCGATCTTATAGATACGTAACATCAGATATGCTCAGAATTAATTTTTTTATAGCCAACTGAAATAATTCTTCCCGCATTCTCTAATACAAATCTTAAAAATAACAATGAATGTACAAAATATAGATATGTGAAGATTTCCTATAATTTGTATAACAATTGTTTTATTTTGTATAAATATCAGCAGTCTAGTGACGAAATTCTGGATGATTCAGATACAAAAGTTCAGCTGACTGATATTCAAACCGCATCGCCATGTCCGAGTAGAAGATATGAAGAAACGTTACACATGTATCGACTACAGCGCATTGGGGTCGTTTCGTGTCTCGTTTTAACGTGAACCGAAAGTAGGCCAGCTCGTTGCTTTTCCGGGTTTTGTGTGCCCAGAGCTCTCAAGGAAAGTGGAAATTTTATTGAAGACAAAAAGGGCGAGAATAGTTGGTGCGAAGCGTCGCTTGCGATCGGTAGTACATCAACAAGATCGCGTATCATTTGTGTACATGACAATGCAACTGATATAAATATTATAAGTCAGATTTTTGAAAAAGTATCATAAATAACAGTCCTCTTTGTGACAAATGAAAAAATATTGTTTTCTTACTTTACAGTCCAATAATAGGAAGTTCACAAATAGCAATTAATTCTTGAAATGATTGGAAATGGATTTATAACACATACATTTGAAAGATTGTCATTACTCGTACAAACTAAAATGTGCACATGTGTTTATTCGAAGGTGATATTAACGAAAAGAAAGTGCAGATTGAAACTAACAAATTTACAATTAAAATGAAATTTAACGATTCACTAGAAAGATACTTATACCCACAAATACATATCATGCGAATCTATACGTTCGTTGGAAAATAGGATTATACTTGCAACATTATAATGTGTGCACAGAATGAGGAAGAGTACTGCGCTTGTACAAAAATAAGGAAGCGAGGCGACTCGTAGGAAGAGCTGGCGCGAAACGCGTACACCTGTGATTCAGGGCGAAATTATGCAAAGTACAGAGCGATGAAAAATGGAACGAGTGTCACGAGGGTGAACGTCCACGTGAGAAGGAACTCGCGCGCGAATCTCGCAGCGGTTTCCGTGTCGTTTCGCGAGCGTATTCTGGAAAAAATGCTGAAAGAGTGCGTCCGTAACGTCATCTTGAGATTAGTCGAGACCTGTGTAAGACGACGGAAGTCGTCGGTTGACGAACTGCTGGCTAAACAGAGCACGAAAGACCAAAGGAAGTAGGCGGAAGCGAACACCAGGCCAGGCGTAAAAGACTACACTCTTGCACAGCGTGTTCTGTCGGTGGGCGCGCAAAAAGAGGAAGGAAAAAAATTAAAAAAGAATAAAATGCAAGCAGGGAAAATGGGGAGAGGGAGAGCTTTGTCGGGGTGTAACGGTTTCTGCGACCTATTTCCAGCTGGCTGGCATGAATAAAGATGTTTATTTTTCCTGCAGCACCAGGGGCACCTCCCCTTATTCTTTCCGCAAATCCACAGGTACAAACACGGGAAACTGTTAAAATATATGCACTTCTGTTGGAATGTACCAACATAGTCGTGCACGTTTTCGATTCGGATTATTACTCGGGATTTGTGAAAATTTAAATAGAAACGGAAAACTAATTGTAAGTCGGAAACCGTCTAAAGGAATTGCGTTGGGGAATACTGTTTCAAATTGATTTACGTACCTGGTCTCCTGAGTCCGTGTCAAGATTGTTGTTGGTTTCCGAAACCTCCGAAACGTCCTCGATGGTCGAGTCCTCGATTGTACTGTTGTCGCTCACTGCGAGGCCCAGCAAGCATATCTGAAACAATCACACAGTAATGAAATTAATAAAAATCGTAATAGCATTAATCAGTAATCCATTAGCCGCAAATAAATTCATACTTCAATGATCTGATTCGAGATTAAAACTTTGATGCTTTTAATATTCCATACAATCAAAAGAGTTATACGGATATTAAATTGCAAAATTCAAGGATTGATTGTATTAAATTTCATCTCCCCCTCGTAGAATATCATGAAAGCCCGCAGTCTATCGTTAGAAAATACTCGACAAAAATTACGAGTACGTGCCAGGGAGTACAAAAGAAAAAGTAAATTTAATATCTCCTCTAAATAGCCTTCTCTTATTTTTCAAAACGATCACGTTTCCTCGAGGGAGAGACGTACGTAGCTTGTCAACTCGCAGGCTACGCGGTTCGAAAATACCGGCGCACGTTTTGGTCGCGAGGAAACCGAGCGTTCGACAATCGATCGAGGTGACAATGGAACGAAAAGTGGCGCTCGGTTCCCCGAGTGTCGCTCCGTCGTCGTGGAAATAAAGGGACCACGCGTATCTCCCAGCAACGAACGAGGGCGAATGCGGCAGGCGCAATTTAATTGTAGCACTTCCGCCCGAAAACGGATACCCGGTTTCTGGTATTACCGTGCAAGGCGGAACTTTTATAACGAGTCCACAGCGGCCTGGTCTCGCTCCCCTTTTTTTTTTGTACACTCGAATTTCGTGTCCCCCGCTGTTCGTATGACTTCGAAAGACCGAAGAGTGCCTATTTCAGGATTGTCGTAATTGTTACGCTATCCACTTATATCAATTAAGAACAATTGTAATATTTACTGATCCTCTCAGTCTTGAGAAAATGAATACAATTTTATTCAAGCATAAGGATGGATTAATTCAGTGAGGTAAATTCGTATAGAACATCTTCCAAAGAAATCAAAAGAGAATTAGTTGTTTTATGCGACTGTACATGGAATGTCTCATCAGTTTTTTAACGTGTTGTGCAACGTAGGAAGTATTTTATTACACATTAGAATTATGAAGTTGGTATAATTTGGAGTTTCTGCTGTTAGCGGAAGTGTAAGAAAGTTTATCACCAACGACAGTTATGTGTTTAGTTCATAAAACTTCTATGCTTTATTCGTAAACTGTTGAGAGTTTATGGTCTGGTATTATTTCCTTTGGATTTAAAGGTTCAGGATAAAATGAGTAACTCTTCTCTGGAAAAACTTTCCTTTGAAATGAAGTACTTGTACGTATGTTTGGTCTACACTTGAAGCTTGAAACGTGTAAAGTTAATGTACACGTGATACACGGTTCTAGGATGATGTATAACGTTTGACGCGTATTATTAGCGAGAAATTCAGACGCCTAGGCCGGCCTGTAATTAAAGGGATAAGGATACCTGCCTCAGGCCTTCAGAAAATGAACTCGTACGCTTCGGGATTAGCGCAGCGAAGCAAACGTAACCCGGGTTCATTGATTTTACGATCATGGCGTGTTTATTGGCTTGTTATTAGTCGGTATAATTAGATTATGGATTATGAAAGGAACATTGTGTTTTGCATTAGTAAACCATTTAGTACTTCAAGATTTTGTTTAGTATTTCATTGTAAAATTTTGAGTTTATTACTAACGATCGAAGTAGAAAAATAAAAGTAAAAGTATTATGATGTTTTCTAACCCATTATTTTTGTTTGTTAACTGTTTGACGATTATCAATTAGAATACTTTGGGGTAATTATGGTTACATAAATAAAAAAATTATACAAAAGGTCGTTAGAGTCTTTGAATCAGGAAATTTCAAAATGTTCGGAGACTATAATCGGTTACGAAAGTCGTAATATATACGTACTTGATAAGGGCTTCCTATTGAAACTGAAAAGTCATTATTCATCTTACGATCATTATGATTAGCCAATCGACCACCCAGAGCGTTCACCAGCGCACCGTCCCACATTAGAAAAAAGAGTAGAAAATTATAGTGATCAAGACCGATGGTCGATTAACTGATCACCGTTATTATCTTGCTAGCTAGAGTAATCCTCTTACTGTTGCTATCGGTTAATCGCGACAAACATGCCCGCCCTCGAGAAGTCATAATTTATACCGCATTTAATACATTACTTTCGAAAGTAGATACTAACATTATACTATTAGAAATTACATTGGCGTTTTATGAACTAAACTGACCTAATCTCTGCAATCGTGCAAAGTATTTAATTCTCCCTAATTGTTACAATATGGCACAATAAAAAACTGTAGTAGTTGTTTTCTAATAATTTAAACTTTTCTTCTTTGCAATGAATGATTTACGCAACAATAACTAACAACAATGCGGGAATGATAAAAGTGTACATGTTCAGTTCACGATACCATCGAGTATTGACATTATTCCAATAAATACATAGTCAGAAAAATAGAATAAAACCGTGTATGTACGTTTTAGAAAGGTACAAAGGACAATGCAAAAATGTAACGCATGCTGATCACGCGCACGCATGTCCAACTGACAATAATATCGACGAATAGCTGAGATTTCAATTGAAATGCTTGTTGCTCGTGGAATAGATACCGATACGAGCTCGATCACATGTACGTTTGTGTTCATAAATATTAGAATACGGTTACAAGTGATTATTGTCTATCGAAAAATTTGAAAATTATTCCAACTTATAAAAATCATCGTACATTATCTCAATTGAAAAAGAGAGAGAGAGAGAGAGAAAGAGTATAATTACTTATATAAATGTAATCTTGTAAAACAAATGATACCAGTTATGTAATAGATTATAAATTTGGAAAAATCTAAATATTTTAGTATAAAAACCATAAATTAGAATACTTTCATTTTTATATACAGTATATGAATATTTACGACAATAAGAGGAAAGACATAAAAGTAGTAAACCAAAAGTAATTTCATTTATAATATGTTCATATTATCATTGATTATATGTATGAGTCCTTTGTTTGATTATTCTCTGTGCACTCATTCATCAGAACGTTTCACTTGTTTGTACATTTCGTAGTACGTTTCAAGACTGTATAAACAGGAGTAGTACATGAATGGTTATACATATATGTAGATATAGTACTAAATGAAAGGAAGTGTATGCTCGACACGGTTCGACTAACGAGGCGCCTACGTTCGATACCGTTTAATTCTTATCTGACCTCTTGATTGGCTCGCGTGCCGTGCCTGGATTAACGCCGCCGGTCCACATTAATTCTGGTAATTAACTTAGTCTCCCGTCTCGACACGACTTGAATCGTCGCGCTTCGACACCGATCGAACTTCCTTGCGCTGCGGTGCGCTGCCTGGGATCAAAAACGTTCCTGGTAATTGAAACGATCGCAGTTCGATTAATGACCCGTCAGTCCCGTTATCGACTATCCCTCAAATTTCAACAGTTAAAAAATTTCTCTTCAATTGTTCGAGGCTAGATTTTACTCTTGCAGCTACACTGTGGATTTCGATGCATCAGGAATTTGAAATTTATTATCAAGTATGCAAGTACACAGTGGAAATGAAGAAAATGCTAAGAAAGCGATGCATGTTGATGCTATGAGGGGACAAAGCTCCAATTTATGTTTCTTTAAAAAAATACGTATGAGTTTCAAGTGTGTACGTTCGATAGGCAAAGTATGCAAAAGTAACAGCAGTCTAGATAAAAGTGAGTTTGCGTTTTTCAAAAACAGAAAGAAGCCCTCTCATGAAATATTGTGTTTTACGGAAGTGTGCTTGGCATATTTGTATCAGAGTATAAAGGGGTTTGAGATAAGCGTTATCCATTGAAATCTTGTTCTTCAGGCAATGACCCGTCTTTTTTAGGAGTCGCTACGCTTGTTGAGGCAACAACGACAAGGCGTGTGTCACGTTAATGATGTCTAGAGTGGCTCATCTTCAATACATGCTAATTTCTTATTCAGCGGTCCTTTGAAGTCTTGTTAGCCGTGCAACTAGACGCTGGAAAAACCGTGTCAGAGCAAAATACACGTATGTATGACTCGAATAAGGATATAACCCGTGCATGAGTGCCTACAAATCTATTTTCTACCTCAACCTAACTTCGTCATCCTTTGGGTACTTGATTGTATACAATTAATCTTCAACTTTTCTGTCTCTGTCAACTTATACGTACACATATGTCTCAGTATTGGTCAAGAAAACATGTAATATATACAAGAGACGTATGGCGAGGGGAAATAATTAATTGTAGTGAAATTTTAAAGAAGAAATCTATTATGAGCTAACATTAAAAAGAAAACAATTCTATTCAAAAGAGGCACCGGAGGAATCTCATGATCCGCGAATCGGAGAGGAAGATTTGCATACGTATCTGCGCCCCTGAACGTTCTATGGATAGAATCATTTTTCAGTTCCAGGTCGAGGGGGGTACGACGGCGATTTATCTCGTCAATCAAAAAGCTGCTTTATCGTCGAAGAAAAATTGATATTCGATTACGAGGCTTGTACGAGAAGAGCTTCGTTTCACGTCCGTTTTCGAAACGAACTGCCGACGCGCTGTCTGCCGTCGTGGGTGATGGAAGGAACACGGGACGCTACTTTGCGCTCCCGTGTGAATAAGATTCATTTTTCCCGCCGCGATGAATTAATATCGAGGAGTATGCCGGAGATCCTCGTCCCGCTAAAAGGCGAGCCGTGTAGACAGATTAGACGCTCCTCGAGGATCGACCTCTAATCTCACACGGGGGACACGTCCATACAATGCGCACAGCTTGATCTAGACGTTTAAGATAACTCTTTTATTTATGATCACGGTTGGTGGTATCGGGATCTATCTTCTGGATCTATAAAGAACAAACTGTCTCAAATGTAGATTTGAACACCGATAACTAACATAAAGTAAAAACTATTACAAAGTATTCTGCTTTCTATGATAGAGATACCGTGAAAATATGACTCTGATAAAGACACGTATGTTTTATAGGGGAACCATTCTTTAAAACAGTTTCCTAATTTATTCTCTTTTATATTAGTAGGCACTGCACTGGTCACA